AAGGGTGTAAAACAAAACATAAAGAGGCTGCTTCAGAAGACTCCAAAGTGTGGCTGACACACACACACACACACACACACACATATATATATATATATATATATATATATATATAGTCTCTCGCAGAATGTTCTAGAAGCCTTCTGGCCAATCACGGGCTGTTGTTCTGCATGGCTACTCCCAACTGCTTCCAGAGCCCTTTGAAAGTCCTTTGCTCCTCACCATAAGCTGCCTGGATGTAATAAATTGTGGCTTCTTGTTTCTTGAGGCCCAGTGTTTTTTGTCTGCGGCGTGGCTGTGTGGGTACTCTCTAGCCTGTTCCCTCCAGGACCAACTCACACACTGTGTAGGTAACATCTTTGTTGCTGCTCTTTGAGGATTGTTCCACAAGTTGAATTTTCAACAGTCAAATCACCTAATACACAGTTCTGTTTATTGGGTCATTATCCTGCCCTATTTTTCATGCAACATTAAACTGACTGACTTGGTTTATGTTGTGCTTCCAGATTTTCTGCTTTTGTTTGCAGAGTACTATAGTCGTCAAGTCACTGTTTCTCTCTCAGCATAACAGAAGTTGTATTTCAGTCCTTCAGACCTCCTACTAAGTTCACAGGGAACTATTATTTCCAAATTTTCAGAGACCTTTCTTTACTGCTTTATTTTATAGTGGACTTTCCATAATAAATACTTATCTAAATGTCAATTTTCAGTGGGGAAGTATGTGGAAAACAATACTAACATCAAGAGAACTGTACCATGACTTGCATGAAAAGAGGGAGAGCAGAGGGGTTGGGTGGCTCAAAACTAGTCTGACAGGAAGCAAGGTGATAGAGGGGTTGGAGAAGAACACTTCATTTATTAAAGTTCATGTTAAATATTTCAAAATTATAATGAGATCTTACAGTGAGATCTTTCAGAATCTCAGGGTAATCCTTTGCTTTCATTCCTCATTGGATTCCTTGTGCTTCTTTTACTGCTCCCTTCCTTTTCCCTTCTTTTTCTTGCACTTGTCTTTTCTGCACTTATCTTTTGTGTCCCACATGGCCTACTCTTCTCCCCAAAAAAACTTTTGGCTGCCAAGTTCACATCTTTCAAATTCCTCCCTAAAACCTATTTCATCAGGGAATTTTCACTTTTTATCCAAGCCAGATGCCTTTCTTGCTCTGAATATTTTTTTCATATCTTTTCTTGTCTGTCTTAAGGCCAGCATATCTGGTAGTAAAGGATTATCAATAATTTTCATTCTTGAAACAGAATGAGAATTCTTTACAAATTCACTATTTTGACTGAAGTAGCCTAAGGGTCCCTCTATCTTTCTGTTGCCATTCTAAAGCTTCCTCTCTCTTAAAAATATTAGTGAGTTGGAGGCAGGGAAAGGGGCAGGGATCACCTTACTGTGGCAAGAAAATGGCCCTAAGGAGTCCAGGTTTCTAGAGTTTGCTTTATGTGATATAAAATTGCTTGAAACAAATAACTTTCCAATAAAAATTTCAAAATAGTGTCCTTGGTCATACTTCCATGAATATTAAAGGTGTGCCTTCATTTGTGTTAAGAGAATAGAAAAAGAGTTCACTAGGAAAAGAAATAGTCACACTTAAATCTGCTGGAATGTTGCTTTACATTATTTACCTAGACAGCCATTGCCTTCAAGAACTATAGGAAAAAATATCATGGTTTCAAAAATAAAATAAAAATGTACTAACTGCTGCTGACACTAGCAGTCAATTTTCAGGGGCCTTGAAAGGACATGCTCATTTCTCTCGTTAAATTTCATCCTCTGTGAAATACTGACTGCAACCTCACTAACATTATAATGAATATTTACATAGAGAACAACTAGTGCACTTCTCGTGTTTCATTCCAGTAAATTTCAATGGTTCTGCTTTGGCACATAATGGGAGTAACATGATAATGATTCAATCCCAGAAAGAAAGGGCCTCCTTAATCACCTGTGTAATATTTGCAGAGTTTAAGTCCTCATTTATTCCTGTTCAGATCACAAGTCATCATACCCATGTACAGATGTAACTCAAAGACAGAGCAAAGATATTTCACCATCAGATGGAGATGCTAATACTATGAACATAGTTACAAACATGCCTAATTTTGAAAGAACATTTCTTTTATTAACAGAGTGATTAGTACTAATGGTGAGTGCACTTCTTAGAGAAATCCACCCCTGACTTTTGAGTCAGTAAACTGGCAGTTGAGGAACAAATGGGACCATATTATTTTTTTTTTTTTTTCTGGCTTGGGCATCATCATACACTGTGAACAAATGTACTTATGTAAGTCGGACTGGACTATGAAATTTATTGAGCTCTTCTTTTCCTCCTTCAAAAATATTTCAGCTCTTTAAGAGAATGACACACGTATTGAATTCCTTAAGCTTACTAGATGCCAAAGGGTGTATCTCCTTACATAGCCATCCCTTGGGAACAACTACAGTGTGTCATCAGATAAATCCAAATCTCTATTTGACTCTGATGAAAACTTTGAGTGTTAAACCTCGGCTGAATGTCAGTCTTTGCCTCTCTCCCTTTCTCCCTCTCTCTTTCCCCCATACATAATATACACATGAAAACACTTCTCTGACTCAAGGCATTTGAAATATGGCAACTTCAAGTCACTACTAGAAGTCACATTTTGATCACATGGAAAAAATAAAATAGACAGAACGACACCATTGCCACCTTTCTTTTACCCGTCAAGACTGTCAAATGGGAACTAAAATACATATTTACAATAGTGTTGGGAACACTATTAAAATATTTTAGACATTCTAAGGAGAAAAATATATATATATACATACAAGGGTCCAGTTTGTCCTTCTCCTATAGACTGGTATTATGCTGTGTTTTACCTTTCCTTGCATTATATTCCAAAGTCATTCTTTGCTAGGGCTTGCAGTCACAGGCACTGTGGTAGGACTGGATTTGCTGCCAAAGGACACTCTGACAAGCCCTAATCTGCTTCTAAGACCTGAATGGTTACAGTGCTTGGACCACACTAAATCACCAAAAAAGAACCCTGTTTTGCTCCCTTGTGTCCTTCTTCCAGGTAAAGAAGTTAAGTCAGGAAGATAAGGAATATAATTTCAGAATCACCCTCCTGATCCAAGAGAAAATGTAGAGGTAAGATTAATGTAATTTGACTTATTTATCCTTCTTTGAGATTTCTAATCTTAAATGCAAAAGCAGAATTTGGATGGTAGAGATTTTTGAAGACCCACCAACTCTACAAATGGCTTTTCATTTCCTTTAAAATATTAAATCCTTCACTGTATCTATGTTTTCACTAATACTGTGTTCATTGAAACTTTTAAAGATTTTCAGATAATTTTGCCATTCTTATCTTATTTTTAAAGATTTTTTTACTTGATTTGTAATTTATTTTATTTCTGTTCTTTCTTCTGTCTACTATCGTCTGCAGAAAAATCTCTGATAATTATTTCACAGTACACTATTACTTTCGATTCTTTCTTCCTTTTACTTGTTTCTTATATGGGACCAGAATTCAATTTGTTTGAAAACTATGGCTTATGAAGCTACTTTAGAGGCATGAATATAGGATTTGGAATAGATACCTTCCAAAAATAGAGAATATAGAGGCTATGGAGAGAAATACCACAAGTTTTATGTCCAGTTCTTCACGGAAAAAGGCGTTCTAAGAGGAGTCAGAGGGTGAAAGTCTCATCTGTATTTTGTTTCAACTATCTTATTAAAAAGAAAAATAATTAAAAAGTGACCAGTGTATCCAAATGAACGAAACCCTTTTTCCTTTTAATACTGTGCAAATTCTCCATACCTGCTGCTTAAAAACTTTTGTTGTGCCATGTTCTTATTAATGGGCAGGGTTTGTACCATGTACAAGGTTGTTTGTAAGGCTGAACCTGTGTAAGAAAGAGTTGACTTGTGGCTCTGGATTCAGTCCTGAGAAAATGTGAGCCTGTCAGTAGCCGGCTGTGTGCTGGCTGCCTGTAGGGCACCATCCCAGGGCTTATCTGGCAGCTGCTGGTGCTGGGACATAGGTGTTCAGAGAGGGTCCTTATGAGAATAAGCAGCTATAAGGAACAGATGAGGAAGCAGGATGATTAAAGACAATGGATTAGAGGAGGAAAGAAGAGGGAAAAGAACAGGCTAGTTACATGACAGTATGTGAGTACAGGAAAAATGTATCAGGTATAAATCACAAAGGAGATTGCCTTCCCTCGCCTCCTCTTCTTTCTCTTCACTGTTTCTTGCCCATATGTCTGTTAGATTTGTTATGCACTTACCACTGCAAAGCCAAGGGCTGGCTCTTTGCAAATTGCTTACTGTTCTGTGTGTTCATGTTTTCCCAGTTATAATACTGGCAAAATATATACATATAGCAGACGTAGTTTATTTCTGATGACCTGAACACGCCACTGGTGCCTCTGATACATTTTGCCCAATGGTAAACCGGTATAATAGAAAAGACTAATGAAGGGAGAAGTACCAGGTTTTGTAGGTGAATTTTAATATTTTTCAACATACAGATTACATTCATGTAGCATGATGAACAATTTTAATAGTCTGAGAAATTTATCTAGAGAAAACATAGAAACACCTTCTAACTACTCTTTAGTGTTTTTGTTGAGGCCACAAAGCAAATGCAAGGAGAACTTGACATCTAACACTGACATGAGCACATAAATTCAAACTGTACTTGCAGAATATACTGGAAAAGGAAAATTTTCATAACACTACAGTGAACTGCCACTGCAAACAGGAGTAGATATTTCTTGATTTGAGTTTTAAAATGAGTTAGCTGTGAGCCAGACATTAAGGATTTCTTTTCACAATTAATCACATTAAGTTTTTTCTACGCTATTCCCTATATTGTTAATGTAAGAGGGTACCTCTTATACAGTCAGAAAGCAGAAAAGTTAATGCATCACTTGGACAACAAAACAATTGAGAATTCAGATAGCTTTCCAATTAACACTGAAGATGTTAATTTCTGCACCTCAAAGAGCATTACGAGTTCTTTTGAGGAATTTTGATGGTGACAGTCTTAACTTCTGTGTATTCATGAAGTCCATATTCTCCCCTAGATAAAAGAGAATGAAGAGTAGCATTTATGCTAATGTTTTTTATATTAATTATTTTCTGATGGGATTTTCAGTGGTAGTGTGCAATTGGCCGGATATATTACAAGTACACTAGACATATTTGGAAGACAGCTGTGCAGCTAGACTGCTGCTGGAAACCTTTTGAAAAGCTACATCAACAGTCTCCTGAGAAAAATTGCAGAGAGAGTAGTTTTACTTCTGTGAGTGGTGTTTGTAAAGCTCTTCTTCTGATATCAAGAGTTTTCACCAGAGTCAAAAAATAGGAACTTCATCTCAAGTAAATGGGGGACAAAATTATCCCACGGTAAAAACTGAGACAGTGAAAAAGAGTTGCAATCTTTGACATGTTATGAGCATGTTTCACCTGTATGTTTTCAGTGATGAGATGAAGCTTGTTTGTATTCCTAACTATTTGATATTTGATGTAGTCAAACTGTTTAGACATAACTGATTGCTCTGTTGAACAAGGGTTTGCTACAGTGTAATGTTACACAGATTTCACTGCTGTCTTATTAGATAGATATATAAAAAAGACAGAAATCAGTGCTCAGGATGCTTGCACTGGGTGAAAGTGTTTACTGATTCCCTTCATTTTTGAGGAGGAATTTTTTTAGTATATGACATTTAGTAGCTTAATTCTTAATGGCATTGTCACTCCAAGAATTATATGGATAATTTTATTTTGGGATCAAGGAAGTCAGTGACTTAACAGAACCACATCCTAATTTTTTCCATGTAGGTTTTGCACACATATTTCCACTTCTCCTAAAAATGGTTGTCACATATTTACAAATTTTCTCATGACAGACATCCATCTGGTGATGATTTTTTCCTTGTCCTATAGTGGGAATATTTTTATTGGTCTGATAATTGTGACTTTGAACCCGAAAACTTTGTTAGCATGAAAGATTCATTCCTTCAAAATGTACTGTTATAGAGAAAATTTTTTGATAGTCTGTTATTTCCAGCAAATAAATCCAAAAAATATTTCTGAAAAAGACTGTAATTCAGAATTGATTATCTCCCAATTATTGGCACCCTCACCCAACAAAGGCAAAGCTGTGTTTGATAAAAATGGTCTAAATTATTAAAGGGTTTCAATTTCCAGTTTTCTAAAGCTCTCAACGTTGGCTTGACTGTTTCCTTTGAAGTCAGTGGGAGCTTTGCCATCAGAAGCAGATTGTGCCCAGTGATGAGCAAGTATGAAAACACTAGCCTCTGTCTCTGAAGAAACTACATAAAGAGAAACTCTAAAGTGCCTAACCTATACATATTTTTTTAATCACTTCCATTGTTCATTAGAAGTGTTATGTATTTATCTTAATAAAAAAAGAAGCCTTACATGTACTAATTTTTTCTCATTGCTTTAAAAATAGTTTGTTCTTGTACACATGACATTTTTAACAAAGAATACAAGTAAGACTGGATATGATTCAAGTTGAAACTAAGAAGTTTGAAAAAATTGATTAGTTTATAATATATGTATGCTACTCTGCTTCTATTCTGGGAAAAAAAAAACAAAGGTCCAAAGACTACAGAGGGTTATTTTCATCAAAACTTTTGGCCTAGCTGGCACATACTGTAAAAACATTAGTTTCACAAACTTTTAACTGAAAAATCTTGTTTAAATCAAGGATTTTGGAAAGTCTTGTGTTTTCAAAACCTAGCATTTAAAGGGGATTTCACAACCCACAGGTTAATCTTCATGAAAATGGTAGTTTCTCTATATATGCAAAAACTGTAAACCATAAGCACAATGGTCAGTTTTGCTTACCATATACTGCAACCACAATATACTGCAAGTTAGTACTATTGAAAAAGTGTGCCTCTAAGAAATTTTCTTATTTATTTTGTGGAGGAATTGCTGGTTAACATTGCCTCTGGCAACATGATGCCTCTAAGCACTCTAGAGACTTATTTGCCAAAATCTCAAACTGGTCATCCTAGTTATGCATATTTTAAGTCAGGGTATGGAATTTAATTTTGAATTTCCTGTGAATCTACACCTTTAAAAGTATTCACTTACATTTCTCGTCCATTTCCTGACATCTTAAAACCTCCAAAGGGACATTGAGCAGACAATGCGCTATAGCAATTAACCCTGGAAGAACAGGAAAATTAGTTTCAACAGTGCAAAACAATTTTTTTCACTTCTGAAAAATCAGAGGTTTTCTGTCACCTCTCAAAAGCCTATGGTCATAGTCACAAACAACATCTAAGTATATATTTGCAAAAATATATGTAGTTTGAAGTTCAGAATAAATGAAGCATCAAAAACAACTACAGTTATTATCAGAGTACTAAAACTCAGCAAGGATCTTCACTCTAAGAGACAGTCATATCTTTCTCTGATCACTGCAATAACATTTCTAATTTGTACATAAGCTCTCTCACAAAAGGTTATCCACAGATAAGTGTTCTGCAGAAGAGTTTATGTACCCTTCCAATAGATAAATGCAGGATGACTTCACTGTATATTTAGGGAGTTTTCTTTGGTTCTATTCAGTTAAACCTTCTTCTGTACTGTGATTAAGAACAAAGACACAATAATGAGTAAGAAAGCAATATCACAGGCAAATTTTTAGGTATGAGGAATTCTGGCAGAATGTGCATCCCATTTCCTAGCTGAGAAGCTCTTTTTTGTCTTACAACCTTGTCAAATCAAATATTCTCTATTTTCATATATTTTATTCTATCCTCCTTGCCAGTATACTGGTTTCAACAAAAGAGATTCTGTTCATAGCTAAGGATTCCTAGACCACCAATCATGTAAGAGCAAATCCCAAATATTCCACTTCTGTTCTATATTTTCTCCCATATAAAGAATACCAACTCTGAAGGCAAGCTTGTTAACTTATTTTTGGAAAGCATATGTTCTTAGATCACAGGACTTGGGCAGGAATTTGTGCTGGTTGTGAGTGCTTACAGATAAAATGTAAATTGGACACAGGTTTTGCATTCAAGTAAAATTGGTTGTTCTCCTTCTGATGCATTGAAATAACTGTAAGGAAATTCAGGTCTTTGTCAGTGATTGTCATTAGACCCTGCTATGCCTCCAAGCTCTCACTCTTTCATTTCATAGCTTTTTCTTTTCCAGTTCCATATAGGTTGCCTATTCTTTTCTACTGCTGGAAATTGGCCTTGTAGTTGTTCTCCCAGCTTGTATATAATTTCTTTGTTCAATCACATTTCATAAATCTTTCCCATTACGAATGGGAAAGGCTCTGCCCAGGCTAATGGCCACTGAACTTCAGATAATTAACTTCTTTACACAATACCAAAACTTATCTCATTATCTATTGGGCTATCCCCAGATCCTGAAGTAAAGGGCACTCTCACAGCATTTTGTTTTGTTTCCTTTTCTTTTTAGCAAGTAAATTTCCTTTTTTTTGACTAAGTTTATTGGAAAATGATATGATGACTAACAAGAAGTAATTATTTAGAAAACACATGAAATGGGGAAACGTGGGAAAGATAAACAGAAGAGACAATGATCTACCTCTATAAAGAAGACAAGGAATTCATATAAAAAAAGACCACCCAAAATACGGTGAATGTGTCTTACAATTAGTGCCATTGACGCCCACAGATCTAAAGTAAGAAGTAAAGAAAACTTTACTTACCATACTGTTCCAGCCTGAAGGGCAGCTGCAAATGTCAATGCTTTGTCAATGTCTTTGGTAAAAACTGCTGCTGCTAAGCCATAGGTGGTATTATTTGCCCTCTTTATAACTTCATCTATGGTTTTAAACTTCATGATTTGTTGAACAGGTCCAAATATCTGTATCAAACACATGTAAACATATGAAGTGAACTGGAAGAACTTATTATTTGAAGTAATTGATATATTTTAAGTTTACTTCTGTCAGATGGCCTTATTCCTGAATTCATTCAGTCAAGAGTGAATAAAGTTCTAAAAGATACCATAAATTTGCACAAAGACTTTTGCAATATGAAGGAAGTCAAGATTACCTATTTTAAATAAATCATAAAACAATAAATGAACAATGAAAACAAATAAACAATGATCAAAAGGCACCCATCATAAAGGTAGTTAACATGGTGTCACAATGTCCTATGTATCTATTCTGGTTACCAACAAACTCGTGTTTTCTCTTTTTTTAAAGTCAAGAAAGACATTCAATTTTTCATTCACCTAAATTTACTATTAGAATTTTATCCCTGTAGGTAGCTGCTCAACTGAGAATGTACTCCAAGTGAAACAAGTAATTTTGCTTTCCATGTGGGTGACAGGTAAGAAAATAGTCCTTCAGTTCAGCTTTCCTGCTACCGTTGTTCAGAGTTCTCAGCCAGAGGTGCCCATCCCTACCACAGAACACCAAGACTACGTAAGCTGAGGGAGGCATTACAACATCTAACTAATTCTATTTCCATAGACTGTGAGCTTTCTATTTGACTGAGTTTTTAGTGTTGTTTCTAGCTAGTGTTCTAAGGATTGATTTCTGTAGATCAGAAAACCGCTGGACATTCCTCCAGTGTTCAAGTTGTGAGCTTTAAAACTCAGATGTTCTTTAAACATTAATATTAATTACACTGCCTTGGCTACTCGTAGCTTCTTTGTTCATTACAATTAATATAATGCGAGGAGCAGTTCTCATACTGCTGACCAAAGGGTAACTAACAGAACTGCGAAAAAATTGTAACTGTGCTGTTTCCTACTTGACTCATAGTATGGTGGAAAGAATCCAAATTCTGTCTCAAAGAGGTCTATCACGTTTTACAGCCCTCTTCCTGTCACAATTGATTCTAAATGCTGTGGTCATTTTAACTCAGGCTGTTGGCTCTTGCTGGATGTAGTAAGTATGTTTAGGAGACTGCATTAGCTTTCTAATATGAAGTAGTATAATGGACACCAATTGCAGCCCAATTGCAGCAGGTATTAAATAAGATAAATGTAAAAAAAAACACAGCGAAGAGGTCATGACTTGACTTTGAGTCTTTATGTAGAGAACTAGCTCAGATGGCAGCTCAGCACTCCCAAATGTTTTTGGTTCCTTCCAGACAGTCACTGGTGCCCTAGCATTGTCATCTTAGTTGGAACAGCAGCAGATTCTCCAATGAAGGATAGACACATCTGCAAACTGATCGAAATTAAGTAATCCCACAGGGGCAAAATGAAATGCTACAAACAAAATGCCTCTGGAGCATAATCCAACTAGTTTCTCACATTGCAAAGCAGCTGCCTAGTGCATACAAGCACCAAGTGGCTCCTCAGGCAGTGTAAAACATTCACAAGTTGTGCCTCCAAGGTTTACGGGTCACTGTGACTTTGATATGTGAGAAATTGACAGTATGGAGCAATGAAAAGAATCCAAACCTCAGCATTTATCTACTGCAAGAGCCTTTGCTGGCAGGGCAGCCTCATACTCCTCTCCCTTCTTGAGCAATCTGGTGAAATGGGCACCAGAAAACAATGAAAGAACTTTAAACACCACCAGGATGGAAAAACAGGTTTAATGAGAGAATATTCATGTAGTCACTTGACCTTCTAAATGAATGTTTTGTACAGATATTTAAACAGACGACTTCTAGTGAGAGAAGAGACTGCTGAAAATTAATTTACCTCTTCTTTGGCGATGCGCATGTCATCTGTAACATTAGAAAAAACTGTGGGCTGGATGAAGTAACCCTTGTCTCCCCACGGACCTCCTCCACATTCCAGTTTGGCTCCTTCTTTCTTCCCACTCTCAATTAGCTCCAGGATTTTTTTATACTGCTCCTTATCAATCTAAATGAAAAGATATTTCAGGAATGAAAGCAACACACACTGATAACAGCTGGTCTTCTAGCTTATTAACCTAAACCTGCATCCCTATGAGCTGGAGAAAAATATGGCTTTTTCTCTGTGGTAATACACCACAGTGAATAGATCTGATGCAGGCTGTAATTTTTTTGTTCCTAGAAAGAATTACTCTAGAAATCATAACAAGGAATCTGATTACAAAGAGAGATATTTAACATAACTACCAAAAAGGAAATGCAGCTACATCCATTATTACAATTTTCCATTAAATGGGATCATACCAGTTCTAAAAGGAGTAAATTTTCTAATCTATAAAATAGTTAAGTTTCAGCTAAAAGTTGCTAAGGATAAAAATAAGTCAAAAAAGGCAAATTTTGAGACTGGAGGAGAAAAGACTCTTTATGCTCATTCAAATATTTTCATTATTGCTTTTCTCACATGTTTAACTCGTTTAAATTTTTAGTAAGAGTGTATTTACATCTCTCATTTAAATTGTTAGCATGAAATTCAAACTCAGGAAAGCCCCAATAATGTGAGAAATCATTTCTGTTAATTTTATATTAGCTGTACACCAGACAAATGGAGTTTACTTTTTTGAATCTTCCTGCCCTTTGACTTTTAAATTTATTCTGCTGAATTTATTTTCTTGTACCAAAATATATTCCAGGATATCAAAATAAGATTTTTTAATTTCCCTAATATTTTGTGGCTTGGAGTGCATTTTTTCCAATTTACTATGCGTCTTTTATTACTCAAAATGACTGTGATAACCAATAAAGAATATGTTACTCTATCAAATGCATGGGAGTGGTTTTGTCTCCTACTTTGTCTCTACTACAGCACTTTTTTCCATGCTTTTATTCCTGCAGTATAAGCTGATGTAGGAATAAAACTAGATGAGAACTACTGTAACAGTGTTGAGTTCACAGCATTGTGATAGCAATACTTTTTGATGCTGCATTTTAACATTCATTTAATGGGAAAGCTGTTGGTATGATCTTTTAACAAAAGGATCAAAAAACCCAAGCTCTTGCATTTTAATTGTGTAATATTCTAAAACTGAGAACAACATAATAAAAGTCTAGTGCCTTGAAAACGGGGAAAAGACATTGAAACTCTTATTTCTTCAAGCTAGTCACTTATAGTGGCACTATCTGAATGAAAAATTAGCAAGCTCTAACATGACATGCATGATTGTACTTGCAGTTTTACAGATCTGGTATTGGAGCTTTCTCAAAGCATTTCAATTTTTTATAATTGTTCCTCTTCAATAATAAAAAGAGAAAGAGACCTTAGGCCTGTGATACTGGCACAAGCAACAATCACTCTGATTTCTTCTTCTTCTTTGTACTCCAGACTAACCTCTACAAAACTGTACTTAGCCTTGAAACTGCTGCAACGGTAGGTTTAGAAAGACATTGATTTGTGATGCCATGACAGAATTAGGCTGAAACCATGTAATATTACTCACTTGAGGGCCTTGCTGTACACCAGGTTTCAAAGGATCCCCAAGAGTATACTTCTTTGCTCTTTCAATGCTCCGGCGAACAAACTCATCATAAATAGGCTCTTCCACAAAAATCCTAGATCCTGCTATACAACATTGTCCCTGGTGATAGAACAGACCAATATGGGCAAATTCCACAGCAGCATCCACTGCAAAGAAATACAAAGTTCATCAGATCATGAACCTGAATTTTCACATCATAAATTCTTTACTACCATTTGTCACCCATCTAATTTCCCATTCTAACACCTTTTATTTTTATGGCCCTTTAAAACACAGATATACAACCCATTTACTTATGTCCAACCTACCCTTCTCAAGAACATCATGGTACACCTAGCTGAACACACACTCAGATATTCTGTGGGAAATGTAGATTTAACATTATTTGCCCTGTCAGGAGTATCAAGAAAAGTATTCAGATAGAAAGTTAATAAACCTGTTTAAGATCCTTCTATCTTTTTTTCATTCCTCATTCATGTTTCATTAGGATGATCATTAATTACATTAAGAATGAACAGGCTTTCAGAGCTCCAAATCTATTCAGGAGCAATTGATTTTGGTGGCAATCTAACTTAAAATTATGGCATGACCAGAAAACATTAAAAATTGCTTCTTTTTTGTAAAGGTTAAAATAATTTGTTGACAAAGAAAGGAAAAAGTGTGTTGGATTTGTAATAGTAGTAGTTCATATAATAAAATTGCTACTAACAATCTGCATCTGCAAATATAATGTTAGGACTTTTTCCTCCAAGTTCCAGGGTAACTCTCTTCAGATTGCTCTTCCCTGCGGCTTCTTTTATCAGTTTGCCAACCTAAAAGGTAGGAAGAGGACAGCTTCATGTCAAAAAGTTTGTAATGACTTCTATAATACCTTTCTGATTTCCTCAAAGTGAAAAATCAGTTAAGAGATTTCTACTATCCCAGTAATAAAATGAATAATAAGTTAAAATAAAACAACTGAGAAGAGTCAGGGTACAGGGGGCTTGTACCCTGTGAACTGGAAATGTTTTCTAGAAGAGTTTCCCCCTGTAATATTAACTGCCAAAGATACATGGTGCTTTTTTGGTTACTACCACTCTGCTTGCACTTATCCCTAATCTAAAGCAGGCACAGGTTGCTTCTTCACCTGTTACTCCCATTAAGTTAAAATTGCTTTGTTTTATGCATGAGAAGGCTCTTTAATGCACAAAGTTTGTAAGACAATCTACACTGGCTGCATGGACACTCTCTTGTTTCAATTTCTCTCTTGGATGAATAAAGAGGAGAAAATGAACACTGCAAGCTTACCTTGAGCAGCTAAGAACCCTTACACTGCTTTTTTCTACTGATGACATGATTGAAGGAACTCCTTATTATGAACTGCCCTGGAAAAGTTGTGAAGGAAAAATCTGCGAAGGAAAAATCTGCTTGTAGCTCTTGTGGCTTTGGTCTCTTAACTGCCTGTGTGTAGCAACCATCAGGAAAATTTTCTCCCTCTGTCAGCCTTCCTGCCATCATTTCTCATTGACAAGTTGCACTGCTAGAAGAGAACAGTCACCAAACTCTAGAATACACCCTCTGGTCCATCTGCCTTTGGAGGATCACTGGGCGCTGGGAACTATAGTTGTTGTTGTCTATTGGGAACATCTGTGGGATATTTCTCAGATGTCAGGGGTTTGGGTTGTTTTCATTTCCCATTACTGTAGAGCTGAAGGTTTCTGAGAGTAAACATAGCTCTTGCACTCAGTGTGTACTGATCCCTGACATGAAGCAATGATATTTATCTTTGGAGTCTATATCCAAGAAGTTAAGAGACCAGATGGCAGCTTTTCCCTTTAGCATGCATTTAGACAGACAATATAATGAACTGTATCAAAGAAATAGCTAATCCTTAATCCTATATATAGCCTGCAATGAGAAATATTCAATTATAGCACTTACAGTTCTTCAGAGTGAAGGTTAGGGAAAATTAACAGTGACCTTCCTTTTAAACAGATACATATTCAAACCCTTTTTTAAGACCACCCAGATGGTATTAAGTATCACTGAGATACCAAAAATCTGTCACCTCACCTAAATGTGTGTAGACTGAAGAATGAGGTTTCCTATGTACCTTTCTGTCATCCTGCTGTTATTAAACTCAAAGATAACTGAACTTCTTAAAAAAAAGAATGTCATGAATGAAAAAGTTTTGGTTTAAAGGAGTAAGACTTAAAATACCCTTGGTATACTGGGATCTACTGCATCTCATGGACTGCCTTTGTTTAAAGGGCTTTCCAGCAATACAAACATAGTTTAAATATGTTTAAAGTTAATAATAACCAACAAACCATTAAACAAACTTTGTTTAAAAAACCAACAGCCTTAAGAAAGAAGAGAGTTAAAATAATTATACAGAATAAGTTAGACATTAAATCATTGCTGGGAATCAGAGGGGCACATTTCCTGCTTATATTTTCTTGTACTCATTATAGTACCTCTGTAGAGCCGGTGAAAGCTACTTTATCTATATCCATGTGGTGAGAAATTGCTGCTCCAGCGGTGGGTCCAAAGCCTGGCACAATATTCACTACTCCAGGTGGAAATCCTGCCTGAATTGGAAGAAAGAATCCTGTAAATTTGGGGAAGGATAATAACTATAAGAACATGTGTTGCATGGTCTTCCCTTTTCAGTTGTCCAGCCACACTTTCTTAGCCATATATTTACTCTCAGCCCTAGAGCCCCACAAGGTTTCATTCTCACCTGATTTACACCCTCTTTCTGTTACCTGTATTTTAGGTTATTGAACTCTTTTTTTTTTTTCCCCAAAGCATATATTACTTTCATTCTTTGTCAGTGTCATTTCTGAAGAAATATCTTTTAAAATTTTCTCACTCAGATGTATAGAGAAATATTGCTTACTTTCATATCTGCTTCCTTAAAGCTGTTTGAATCAACATACGTGCCCGCTGACTTCTGCACATTGACATCCATGCTAGATGGAATTTAATTAATGATCTGCTAGTGAAATTCTGTTAAGAAAAATGATGGAACTCTGGATGTAGGTTGAAAGTACAGTGGGCAACATGAGAGTTTACAGCAAAAAAGGGGAAGATTAGCTACCAAGCATGAACAAGCAGGCTGAGATAGGCATAGCTTAAATATCTTGCACATTTTTTATTCAAATAAGCTTTCCCTGTGGTTCAAAACAAATGCATTGTTTCCCATAAATCCTTTATTAGATATGTTTCATTCACAGCAAAATAAGTTATTTTCTTCCAGCATCTTGTATTCTTGTATGCAAAGATATGCAAAGAGTAGATGGAATTTTGTTGGTTTATGAAGCAGCTGCACAATCTCAATGACACTTGAGGAACACAGAATTAAAATATCAAATAGATTCATATCCTGCATTATCACTTCAATAAGTCTCTTTATAGCACAAAAAGGACATTGGAATTACATGCTAAAGCTCCATGTTTTTTATGGAAAACGGTGAATTTCAGGTGGTGAGTTGGAGCTCCTGAAACTTATGTCCTGTGTTTTGGATACCAGGTTGTTACTTTTGTTCAAGGAACTTTTATTCCTTACAGTTTCATGCTCAGATACAGTCTGTCAATGCTTGTTATGCTCATTTAGTTTTCCAGATAAATATTTATCCTGAAATTGGTGAGACAATGAGATTCTTTCCATTTGCTTATCATTGTCTTTCTTCCTTAATTTGTGCAGAGAAATCTCCCTTTGAGCATTTAATTTCCATGTTAGTTTTAGGAAGTCTTCTCCATATCTTAGTAAGGGAGCCTTGTGAGTACCATTAAGCAAGATAGTGAAGGTTACCAGAAGTGACTATATATATATATATTTTTTTTAAGAGGGCATTTGGGAACTAGAAAGTTAAATTAGACCTTCAGATGTTTTCACAAGTCTAAAGCTGCTATTGAAGTGATCACTGGCAGGGATTTGTCCCCCAGTGTAATTTTTATGTTCTGGATATTTGTCACATTCCCACTTCTGAGTTTTCCTTTCAAGAAATCAGAATATCACAATAGATCTCTCATTAGATCATAACAGAATTATTTTCCCTGTAAAGTTACTTTTTTCAGAGAAATACACTTTCAGATACTTGTTAAAAATTAATAGAGAAGGTTTCTCTCATATTTTTAAAACTATTCCTCCTCCCCATTATTATCTAATAGCATTTACTATGTGATGCAAGAATAGCCGAACATGGCTCCAGTCTGATAATAATTTAGTTTCTGTGTAATATTAACAAACCAGTCAGTGTGCTGCGCTGAATCACTGTTTTAAAGCAGAATTATAAAATGTGCCAAGTAATTTCCACTAAAACTCTGCAAGGTTACTGAACTGGTGATTATTGACATCTGTGTCAACCTTTGAACATCTTAGATTGTATTTGTTTATTTTATTGGGAAGAAAAAAAACTGTTTTACTGTTCTCTTTGGGTGTTTGCTGGACTGGGCACAATAGTTAGCTTTGGAGACACTAGCTTTCTGAAGAAACTGGCACACCCCCTTTTCAGGAGCACAAAGTGTCTTCTCACAGTTTCTGTGTGAAGACAATTCACAGGTTTGGCAGCAGTTACCAGCTTGATTTTACAGCTCCCTGTTAATAATAAACTTAGGTGGATGAAAACTTTGTTCCAATAAAAAAAAAAAAAAAAAAAGGAGCTGTACAAACAGGTTCTTTTATGTGATAACTGTGCTAATAAAGTCATTGCCACCTGTTGCCCTGATTTTTAAGTTTTTCTAAGCCTTCTGATGTTTACATTCTTGTAACGAACTTTCTCACACACTTTATGCAAATAACTTATTGTTTTGCATTCCTTTATGGAAGAAGAGAAATTTGATGGACTGTTGGTTTGTCCAGTGTCATTGGAGAGGCGGAACTTACACCCTCCAATCCACTGTTACTTTTAGAAATCTGTAAATATTAAAGTAAAAAAATAAAAAGTCTTTTTTTTACCTTAGAGCAACAGTGAATCCGCATCATGTTGTTTCATGTCCTATAGTGACAGCCACCCACCTCCAAACACTCTGCACTTGACTCCTTGTTTGCTTTTGACTCTGAGAGGTACTGTGCTTTTGTAACACAAAAATATTTACTAAAGAATGGAGTTTACTAAATTGATGTTGTGGGATTTTTTTGTGTGTGTGTACTAGGCTGAAAGATATGCCCGTTTTTGCCCTAGTTTGGTTTCACTGGTTTACAGCAAGGTAAGTTCCACAGTGCAAGACTAGGCATGCAATGAGCCTGTCTTATGTTACCTTTGTGGCATTTCAGCTGCAGTATACTCTTACACTTCTGAGAGGGGCAAATAACCCTGTTGTTGGTGACTTACCTCTTTAATTAAGGATCCCATGTAAAGGGCACTGAGTGGAGTTTGTTCTGCTGGTTTGACAACCACGGTGTTTCCACAACAAAGGGCAGGGGCAATCTTCCAGATGAACATAACCAATGGGAAGTTCCACTGAAAGACAGATGAGAAAGTGTATCCTATTTCTAATACATCACCAAAATACCTTAGCTTTTTCTATTATAATACTGCAAATTTTCAGTTGGGTGGTTGAACTTTTTGTTGAACTCCTTTCAGAAAGAAGATGTTTTGAAAAAAACAATTGGCAAGCCATGTAGTACAAACTGGGGATTTTTGTGTATGGGTAAGTCCAAGGGATGCAAGGTTTTAGTTACAAGCTCAAGAGACAATGAGCATACTCCTTAACAAAGTATTACAGGCAGTTTTTGGATTAGTGGTGCAATTAGGACTTTTGCTATCTTGAATGGTCACATCCATCATCAATTCAGCTTTTGAAGGGAGGGAAGGTAATAACAAATAATGCTGCCCCTGCCCTCTCCCCTGGAGGTTTCAATGGCAGCTGTCTGTTGTGAGCAGCTCAGGCTGACTGAAGAGCAGCTGAATGCTTTGGATGCCATGTTCTGCAGTGTGAGGGATGACATGACCAGGGGAAAACAGCTTTGCCCCTTTGAGAATATTTACTATAGTATGGGTGGCATTGAGGCCATGAGCCTCAGCTCAACAGATACCTTTTTGAAATGGGGAAAAAAAGCAGTTAAGAGTTACTTATTATGTCAGAAAGGCTAGGATGAATATACATGCAACACTTCTTATTTTTCTCTCCTTGTCTCCTTTCAGACTCACCCCAGCCCCAGAAATAATGGGAGCATAAATAATATAAAGTGAGGGATTACAGGGTTTTCTGCATATTCATTGTTAAAGTGGAACTGCATAAGTGAAAGGAAGTGGAAATGGTGAGCTGTCAAAAGCGGTTTGCAACATACACATAGTCCTCATAGTTTTGGTTTATAGAGAAAATTCCAGTTTGTTGCTTCATATTTCAATTGAGGGAAAATGAAGATATACTCAAAAATATTAAACATTTTATAAGGGAAGTCATTGTTTGTACTAACTGCTGCTTGTACTTCCAGGAGATAATTATATTTCAAATGGCCACATCTAGTGTTTCTAGCTCTTTATCATAGCTTGACTGAGTGTTTGACTTGAAATGTCTTGTATCTGACCTACAAGAGGATCTAAACCAGCAGTTTCCCAAGCTCTCCTAAAGGTTGGATACAAACATATTCAAGCAATGAATCAATGTTGTGGTCTAAAGATACAGCAAATTTTCAAAATCAGCTTAAAGATACTGGGAACATAAGCAGGATCCACATGTCTGAGCAGACCTTATAGACAAGATGACTTTTTCAGAATCTTGAGTTGTCAAGCAGATCAGGTGAGGCTGCTCATAACTACCGTGTGCAAGGTGGTGGGTGCATTAGGAGAGCCTAGTGCATACAACTGTTTTCACAGACACCCACCAAAACTACACAGACTTCACAAATAAATTTAGAACTTGAGCTGCTCAAGTGTTTTGAATGATCAGACTGAGATAGGCCTTTTGAAACTTCAGTTGAAAAGAGCAAGTTCAAAACTGGGAATTCAGATGTGCCAAACAGGAGCTTTATTGGACACATTCTTTGTGTTGTAACTCGTACCACCATCATGGTGACTGAGTCTTAGCCATAAACAAAGATCCAGCTGTCTGAATGCTGTACAGGGCATAACAGATATTCTAGGTCTTAAAGAGCTTATTGTTTATAGGCTTAAACATAATAGTCTGTAAATGTTACACTCTCCTGCTTTTTGTTTGTTTCTAATTCTTTCACTTTCAAAAAAACACAATTCAATTTTTCAAAATATTTCATAAGTCAAACTTTTGAGATTTATTTTCTCTCCATATACAGGGAGGAGAGGGACAAGGTTGGACCAAAGTTACTCATTGCACACTGATGAATCAGAATTACAGAAGTCAGGATAGTCTCTATTTTCAGGACCTGAAAATTTCTGGTTAGTAATGTGTCACAAATGCACTTGCATAGGCAAAATTTCAAATGCATTTCCATTTGTAACAAGGAACATTTGTGTTTACATAAATGGTTCCAACTTACAGGAATAATTTGGCCACACACCCCAATAGGCTCATGTCTAGTAAATGTAAAAAAGTTTCCATCTATGGGAAAAAGAAATAAATTAGGCATTCAGACAAAGCATTTATGAGAAACAGTTAAATCACAAAGATGACAAAGTAGGGTACCAAACTTAGCTGGACACAATTTTACTTATAAATGATATTTTCAAAATCTTAACTATGCAAAAGTCATAAAGTACATCTGGATTCAATGTCTACTTCATAGCTCCAAGGTTTGATTTTTCCAGTCTGACTGTCTTTTTGCAGTGACAACCCTGCTTCTCAATGTGGTATGCACAGCACACCAATAAGCATTCCTCATTTCTTTTTTATCACCTTTTTTTTTTTTTTCTTTCAAAGTCTTCTCTTTTAAATCCTAGGTACATATCAGACATTTTTTAATATTAGATCTTAGCTTAAATCAAATCCATTAAATATAAAACTCTCTTTGATTCACATAAATATGTGTTCCATTAAACCTAGTATAGAGGTCTACAGGAGGCAAAAAAGTTGGAAGCATTTATCATTCTAGTGTTCCTTAATTCCTTCTTTATTACCTTTTCCTTAATTCCTTCTTTATTACCATTCTTTTCTTTGTCTTGCTGAGAGTAGGTAGCTAGAGAGACAATGTTTTCATAGAGCTGCTTAATGGGAAAGAGGATGGAATGTTATTTTAGCAAATGTTGTTTCCTCATTCCTATCTGCTAGTACTTTTCCTAATACATTATCCAATCACTGAAGTAAATATTATTTCTTTGTGTTAATCTTTGCTTAAATATGTAGACACCCAGGTCTCACTATTGTAGCCTTGTATAAACTATACATTGCTATGCAAAAGTAGTGTATTGCATTTCTTAGATGCACACACAGGTTAAATTTTTTGGTCCATAAACAATACTTGTTAGTAGTATATAGAACAAGAAATAAATATGAAGATGTACACTAAATGTTTAAGCTGAGAACTATGACAACTCTTTAATAACCTATCTTAAAAAATGATAAAAATTTTCGATAAACTTTCTAAAATATTTTCCATTGGAGATATTTTCTGTATTGCACAACTTTTAGACAAAAGTCAGTTATTTACAGCTTGCGTTGACCTCAGTTCTGTAGCTTTGTTATCTTAGAACTACTCACCCATTGGAACAGTACGCCCATGGATTTTATCAGCCCAGCCTGCACAGTAGCGTAAAGTTTTGATACAGGCACCCAAATCCATTAGATAGGCTGTGGAAAAGAGCTTCCCACCATCAATGGTTTCCATTGTCTGCAGACAACAGCAATTAAACAGTTAATATCGAATACTGATAATGGTTCTTTTGCTTGTGTTTTGTAATTTAGCTTTTGGAAGTTCACTTTGAGGATTTCAGCTTTGGAACAAACACTTAGATTAACTCCCCTTTGAAGAACACATTTTGAAAAACTGAATGTAGCACTTTCAAAGTGAGAAATTTTCATGGTGGTTTATTTGTATTTAGCTATGCAGATAGCATGATCACAATGCATTTGTAGTGGTAAGATTTACTCAAAAGCATCTCTCCCATATGAATCAGTTACACAGTTCTACTTTATGTTAAATATTATGCAAGCACAGATCAAGAGATTAGGAAGGAGACAGTGCAAATAACTGATGCAAATAAAATATGAGCAAGACTCAAGTCTTGTAAAAAATACCCTAAATACACCTGGAGTGTTTGATGTGCAAAGGAAAGATCTGAGCCATCTAGAATTCTTAAGAGAGAAAAATTCATTGTGAAAAATAAATACTTACACAGAAGAGAGTCTCTAAATAGGGTTCTTTCCAGCTAAATCTAAGGAATGTGGTTTGGATTAATTTCCATGCCCCTTTACTATTGGGACATAAAGATCATGAACAGTTCTTAAATAGTGTCAACATATTTTTGACACTTTAAGAATATTTTCCTCAAGGTTTCCAAAACAGAGAGATTGAAGACTTTCCATTCTAGGAACAAACGTATTCAGCAGGAAGACCCTAAACTATAGTTTTAAGATCTAAACTATAATTTCAAGATGTAATCAGATTGGCATTCTTTAGCACTTCCAGATGGATCAACAGACTGGTCCTCCAAGAGCACTTTTTCATCAACAACTCCCCTGTGAAGTCCACATTTTTAGTTAACCGGACATGTTTCAGATACCATACTTGGGATGAGAGCAGAACAAACAGAGAAGACAGCAATCCTTGATGGCTCTTAGCAACAAGGAACTGATTAAATGAGATATGCCCTTGCCATTCCAGGCAATATATGTGGCACTGTTTTCATTCTGTTTGGATATGGGAGAAAATTCTTCCCTGGCCTTAAACTTATGAAATCTGTACATCTCTTCAGCATCACAAGAGACTGGCTTCTAAGTAACGCAGTTCTCAGTAGCTCTTCCAGTACCTTGCTTTGACTTACTCTTTCAGTTGTCTATCTATAGGTCTGCTGAGCTTCTGAAGCATCTTATCAACAGATAAAGCACTGAAATGGAATAATTTTCATCCTGGTCAAATGCATGAACACAGAAAAATGACTTTGCAATGAGATTTGGACATCTATTTTGATCTATAGTCTGTGGTAATATGTGTTGCTCTATAGTACTAGTTTTGCAGGTAGGATAAACTGAGTGGAGAAAATCTTGCTTCATCAAAATCTGGAAAGCACGTTACTCATACATACCTTTTCTAAAAAGGGAAATAATTAATAAGGTGATTAGGTTGTAGGAAATATAACTAAAGTCAATAAAATAGAGACTTGGGAGGGGCCTAAGAGAAAGGGAATTCTTTTATATTATGAAAGTGGCAAATGTAAACAAAAACTAATTAAATGTTCCATCTTTCCTGTGGAAAAAAGATTGTACCTCCATCATCTTTGCATTTGTAATGCTTTAGACTGTACCATGAAGAAAGAAATGCCAGCTCATCCAATTATTTAATAGACAAGAGGGCATACTGCTCTATTTAGAATATAGCTGTCTTTAAATTTTGTCTCTCTCAACTCAAATCTAGAATTTTAAAGGACATAAGTTCCAGTCACACAAGGTTTCTCCTGAGAAACTCTACTATACAATGGGCAACAGTGCTTTGCAGTTGGTTTAAATATTATGAGCTTGTCTACAGTGTGCTTTGTGGCTAATGGCTAAATAGTTCAAACTGTAACTAGATCAGTCTGACTGATCACCCTGAATGCTGGATTCCCTTCCTTCTCTAAATATTTATGCTGTTGGCAGAAAACCAGGATTCATCTTCAGCACAAGCAATTATCCCACCTAAATTTTAATTTCAGAATGAGCTTGAAATAGCAGAGTAGCACTATAAGTGCTCTCTTCATGATAGCACCATAAGTGGAGTTTAAAACAAGCAGGAGAGGATACTAGCCTTTATCAAATTGGGGTGTATTTCTATTTTATATGTCACTTCTTGCCTTAGTGCACAATCTGTAGGTGAGAGCATTACAAGTTATGTGTCTTTTGTTAAGTGTGATAAAATAGCCAATTCACAGTGGTTTGTAAGGAGAGGGCATCATTCCCCAGCACTCATATTATCATTATTTATAAAATATTCCATCACTGTCTTTGGTTCTCCTTAAGCTTTATCATGCATTACTATTTACAAGCTGGCATTAATGAAGGACCAGTGATAAGAAAATATAGAATAATGAAATTCAAATTTTTTGCTGTTCTGACTTGTGTCATCTATAAGTATGGAGCCAGGCTTTGAGTTTAGGCCTTGATTCAGGCTTTGATTTGAGTTTAGGCCTTGATTCAGACTCTGGTTTAGACAAGCATTAACCATGGGATCAATGTTAGTGTACCCTTAAGAATCAGTGATTCAAATTACTGTGGTTGTAGGCAGTTTAAGTATCACTTTAAAGCTAATCAAATAGTCAAGTACTTTGTGAATATAGGGTGTTGATAGACCAGAGTGCAAGCCAGCTTAGAGAAGTCCTTTTGCTACAGAGAAGAAAAGCAAGTGTTGAGACAGCCTAGCTTTCCGAAGAGCAGGCATGTTAAACTCTCCTTTATCTTTCTGTAGAAATCAGGACTTTTCTTCTTGTCCTTTTGTTCACATATCATACTCACAGCTAAAATCAGACGATCTCTTTCGACCAAGTCAGCTAGTTTATTCAAGAGTCTTCCTCGCTCTGAAGCATCCATTGTACGCCAGGTTGATCCGAGCTCAAAAGCCTTTCTAGCTGCTTTAACTGCCTTGTCTACGTCCGCCTGTGGGGAAAACAAAAACACTTATGTGATCAATAATTGGTTCTGTCATAAGCCTTTTTTTGCTGTTCAATGTGTAAAGTTTAGCAGAAGTTTTGACATAAAGTTGAAGTAGGAGGAAAAAACCCCAATCATATAAAAATTAGTACCAGTAATGTTAAATACATGAGTTATTTTCTTTCAAACATTTCTGTTGCTATATCAGGAATGTGAAATTCTATGAGAAACAGATGGGTTCTTAAAGTTTCCAAAATAAAAATACATGAAAGAACTCTATTTTTAAAATTTAGATTTTTAAGCCCTTCCTATACACCAAGCACTTACATTAATGATAAAATCTCTTTTATTTATAAAGAGATGCCTGAGTCTGTAAGGTAAATGCTTAATTACTTATCATCTGAAAGTATCTTACAGGGCAATGAAGACCAGGTTAGAAAGCCTGTTCGTTAGGATGTTTTATAAAATGAAGACAAATTTATTATTAAGGAAAATAAATCAATAAGTTTATTTTTTAAAAGTTTTAAAAAACATTTATGGATAAAATGACTTTAAAAATAAGCCAGGTTTAAAAAGCTAAGCCTAGGTATTTTGAAGTCTAAGCACTGTCTTTGCATATACAGCTAATTCATTGGTCCATTGATGTTTTTTTGTTGCATATTTTGTTACTTATCATTTGGTTTCCAGTATAGAAGAAAAATCTACAATGAAACTGGTCTGTGCAAAGGGTGTTCCAGGATTTAAGAAAAAACACTTACAATTTCTTGAAAAAAGGCTTTTTGTACTTGAAATTCTTCTATATTTCAAAATTCTTGTAAAATTTACCAATGAAAACAGCGACATAGAAAAGAGGTTTATTCTAGATTTCTTTTTGTCAGAAACAAAAATTTTTGAGAAAAAAAAAGGAATAAAAAGGAGTTTCTATATAGGCCACATTTCCTAGAGAAATTTGCATGCAGTGTTTGAAGGATATCTTTCAAACATTTTTTTGTCCTGCTGATTGGTAGTATCTCCTCCATGGAAATCATTATCAAGGTTAACTAAGTCAGCAAATTCAACTAAGTCAACACTATAGTCAATTGTTTTAAACATGAACTAGATCTTGAATCTTTAACTGATATTGGTAGTGATCAGCTAATTTTAAGAAGCTGTGAGTGGGGTGTGTTAGTGGCTTGGAAAGCCCAGCACAGACCTGTGAGGCAGAAGGCCACAGAACTTCCAAAACTTTTTCCAGAAAATTTTGGAAAAGATAGGAAGGAACTATGTGAATAGCACAGCCATTACTGTAGGGTAATACTGACCAGTCACCTACACCAGGTAGCTGAAATCTACCAATTAAAAATTGATTTTGTTCAGAATCTTTCAGCATGTTGTCAAACACCTCACCACTATATGTGACCCCTATCATTAATTTTCTACATCTTTGCAATAGGACTCAACTGGAAAAGGAGAAGGGGAAAAAATATCATATGAATATGAATGGCGTAAATTAAAGCTACCTTGTCTGGTGTTCCTTCTACTAGAAGTGCAGAAATAATTAAAACCGAGAAAAATAATACAAAAGTAATAGAGGGCTGTGAATGAAAAATAATTTAAAAAGATTGTTCTTCAACTGTATGAAATATAATTTCATTGCATAAATCTACACTGTGAGTATAAAAACTCCTTTCTGAGCCAGTTTAGATTTTTTACAGAAGTACATTTAGTTTACATAAACTGATCATTTGGTGAGCTGCTTTATTATTACTAGGGGCCTTTAGGATTAGGAATGTGTCTTGAAAGAGCCATCAAACTGGAAGAAAACAGTTCCCACCCACATATATGTCTGCTCTTTGTAATCTCCTCTTGTTTTTTAAAATACCACTCCAAGGCAATGGACAGCCCTTTGTCAACCCTATTGTAAGCACAAATTAAATTCCTAAAATCTCTTGGCTCATTATCTGAAGTCTAGCCTCTTGCATATTAGGTTCATAATGGCTGTGTAATTTACTAGATCTGCACAATTCACAAGGCAATTTAGTTAATAGCAGTTGTCATTACACATTAGTTTGCAAAATTATTGAAGAGAAAGCAAACCTGTGTTTTGAATAGTATTATCTCTTTTATTTAATGAATTGTTAGAGAGCTTGTAAGGAAAGAAAGATACAAAAATTTTTAATGATAACTGAACAGTTGCAGGTTATGAGTTATTTAATTTAGGGATGATAAATTATCAGTGTCTCAGCACTACTTATAGATAGCTGGTATTAAAGAAAATAAAAACCTTTGAAAAACTTCAGGTGTTTAGATTTTTAAAAATTATTTAATTTCAGGTGAAATAATTAAAAGTCAGACTTTCTCAGCCATGTTTCTCTAAGAAAATGTTTAAAATGTGACATCATTATGACCTTCTTACTAATTTATGGTCACCATTGCTCAAGTACTAGATAACATTAGAGACAAAGATTATTAGTTGAGATTACAGACCAGAGTGAGAAAGATTTAATGAGAAGATGATTCTGAGCATATTTCTCAATAGAGAATTTTATTTCTGTGTGAATTTCTGTACAGCAATTTAAAACATTCTAAAAAACCATGTGCTTATTATATTGGCAATAACTTGTGGTGAACTTATAACACAGACAAACTTACAATTTTAACATTAGTTCTACTGGATAAAAAGTTGTTTAACATTTTGATGCTAAGCTTAAAAAATACCTCTTATACAAAACATTCTAGAGAGGCATATTTTTTGACTAAAATGAATATATAATTTTGTGAGAAATGTGAAAAAATTCACTTTTGGATGCAAGATTAACTTTGAAGTAGAAAAGTAGAAAATTAAATATATATGTGCAAGAGCCAGACCAGTAATTATAAAACCAGCCTTATTTCCAATTACAGTCATCTCGTAACATGGAAATAAAATCTTCATTTCTTGTATTTACTTTCTCAGAATATATTAAAAACCCCTTTCTTTGGTCAGTACTTTTAATGCTGTTAAGCACACTACTGTCTATCCTATTTAAGAAAAACTACTACCTTCTTTACATCTAAACTATTAGTAGCGCTAGACAAATCCTGTTCATAAGAAAAACTCCTAATACAACAAAACTACAGAGATTATGGCCTAAGTTTTCATTATGTCTTTGATTACATGGCATTTATCTGAAACTTTCCACCACAGAATCTCATAATTTTTTTTTTTTTAAATATGTTTCTTTACAGTTTTGAACAATATATTAGTCATCTGCTTCACTGACTCAACATACTTTAAGGAGGTCAGTTTTGTGGAATTAGTGACTATTTGATAGGCCACAATCAGCTTGAAAGTAATTTTTAGGACTATGTTCCAATATGTTTTTCACAAAACAAAATATTTGTAGGGGGCAGTGAGACTACATATAGCTAAAAACAGTCATGGTAGTGATCATCTTCACAGAATTTGTGGGAAATGATAGGTATTCGTCCTTTTTACATTTTCTATAAGGAAAAGCCATTTATAAATGTGTCATGAACAAGATTATATTAATTTTTAATGAAGAAAACATAACAGAAAAATAAAAAAATAAAATAAAATACCACCTATTTTTTTAGATGTCAATTATCACAGATAAGAAAAAGAATCAATAATATTACTAAAACAAATCAGCAAAAAAATTTCTTCAGAACTTTTCTCATATGAGCCTAAGGTAAATCAGTTTTTCAGTGCCTCTTTACAAAAAATGTCATGGTTTATTAAAAAAGAGTTTGTGAAAGAAGGTATACAGGATGAAGTACTTCCATCTGAGGTGGTTCTACATTACACGAATGGCTGCTTGCCTTCCTACTTTTAAGATGAACTGAAATTAAAATTACAGTTAAGAGCAATAAAGAAAACCCTACCTTGTCACCTTCTTCAACCTCACAGATTTTCTCTTCGGTTGCAGGGTTAAAGACTGCAAATTTTTTACCACTGACTGAATCATGCCATTCATTGTTTATAAATATCTGCAGCGGAAGAAACAGTGCAATATTAGTAACACATATGTAGCTGTTGTCTCTTCTATGTTTTAGTGAATAAACCTACCTTTCATAGCTGAGAGCTGCCAGATTGATAGATGTCTGAACTAAAACTGGATAGCTGTTATTACATTATTCTGAAGAGATGAGTAATCACTTACACACTTAACCGGACAAGTTTTTAAAAATTCACTTCCCTTGGAGAGGAAAACTTTCTCTACATTGCATTTTTACATTGTTAATGTCATAAAAGTATGCTGCTGTAAAGTGGTCCTTCCTCTTGGTGAAGTAGAAGGGAGGTTCAGCCCTAAATGACCTATGGAAACTTACCTGAATTTCCTGTGCCCACAGGGTTGGTAACAATACAGGCCCTTTCTGTTACATGGCTTGACAGAAGTAAACCAGTCCTTGTATTTAATAAGTACAGTATATTGAATTAAGAATATCCTGGATATCACTGTTTTAATTAGCTTTGCTTTGATTTACCTCCAGTCTCTCCTGCCAAAGGAAAAAAAAAAAAATCCCAACCGAAAACAAACCAAACCATCCCCCCAAACAAACAAGAGCAATAGCAGGATATTTTGAAATTGAAGCCAAGACTGAAATAATCCCTGTCATAGCCAATTGTATGAGTTAAAGAATCATGGAATGGATAAGGCTGGAAGGAACTACAGTGGGGTCATAAGGTCCAATTTCCCTGCTCAAGAAGGGTTATATTGGAGCACATTGCACAGAATTGCACCCAGATGGTTTTGTGTACTTAGGACATACAAAAGGACCTCTGGCTGAAATTTGAGGTACTTATCTCTGTTCACAAAAGCAAAACACAGCCTGGGTCTTACCTGTGGATGCACAAGATCTATCCTACTCTAGAGCCTGCCATCTCTGGAGCACTGTTGGTAAAATAATCAAAGTGGTTTAATATCTTTTTAAACTGTAGGTTAACCTTGAAGCAGAAAGGAAATGGCCATTGAAAAGACCTGATAAATGCACAGCTGTTAAAAAGAGGAGGATAAGTTGCTAATAATTGTTGTGTACACTTGGAGTGGGCATGAAGTATACAGTCCAAAGTTAACAGCACCTGTCCTTCTCTGCCTGGTCCTCTGTGATCTCTGGGTTCTAGTCAGTGCTGAAACGGGTGTGCCATGCTAAGCTGTCCTACCAGTACCTTGAGCCCACCCTCCTGATGGTGGTGGGCTGGTGCCCTCCCTTCTCCGTGGCTTCCAGTGCCATTGCATTCTAGGCGTGCGTGTGAGATCTCGAATGTACTCACCTGCAAGGACATGTCAGGCTCTGACTCACTGTACCAGGTGTTTTGAGCTCAAATTGTGCTTCTCTCTAGAGTCAAGGCATCTTGCCCCACAGTTAGTTACTGGAGTCTGGCAGTGAGATCAGCTAGCACTCTCCACTAGGACAAAGAACCTAGGGTTGATGCTTAAAGTTACAGGAACTTTGAAATAGAAAACCAGAAAATACTTTGGTGTAGGCAAAGTATATGACAGGTGACTCATGACATGGCAGAACAGTATCCAGATGCCAGAACTGTAGGATAAATGCTTTTTGTCACAGAAACTTGAGGAATAAATCCTTCTACCACAACCACATATGTTATTAAAATGTGACAGATTTCAGGGAATAATTTTTCTGCATAGTATTAAAACTGGTTGAGTAGTTGTTAGTAATTGGTAAATAGTTTATTAATAGCTATCAAAATTGATAAAATTAAGATCCATAAATGGATATGGCAATAATCTGTAAATATATTAATATATTCCTGTATTATATTAATACAGTTCTGTATTTTTCTGCTTGTCATTATGTGGGCAACATACTGTGTCATTGCCACCTCTGACCATCAGGATGGACCAGAAAACTCCTGATTTAACAAAAGCTGTCTGTGAATAAATATCTAAGTCCATAGAAATTTCTGATCAGTGATGAAGCAAGTTATAAGAATACCCACACAAAATTCCAATTGTGGTGAAAGGACAGAGACAGCAGTTAAGTGGTTAAAATGACAAAAGCCATTGCCAAGAAAAGAGGCAAAGTAAAAGGTAAATATTAACATAACACTGCTATGATGTTACAGTATGCCAAATTCATATCTGTCTGTGAAAGGAATAATAGAAAAATATACCATTTTTGGAAATATTTAAAGTGCTTGTTTAAATACTACATTTATTGCCTCAATCAATATCACCCATAATATTAGTTTAGAATTAATTTCTTATTAATGTTTCTAATACCATTCCTGTTTAAAACATAACTTCATTATATTTGATATATATATATATATATATACATATATATATATATCTATATATACACACACACACACACACACAATATTGTATCAGAGTTGTGTAAATCAAGCTACCCGTATGTCTTTCATAAGCTAGATAGTGGCCTTGCAAAATGGGGGTAAGAAAGATGGGAGAGGAAAAATATCAAAACTCTCATGTAAGATGTATTAACACATTTCAGGGCATCTGCACTCATTAATGTGCATGCAGCCATGCTCATAAAATGCTGTGGAGTGTTTTCTACAAACAGGATGTGGAGCTCTAAATCCAGGCAACACTGAAGTACTGGCTAAGAGCAGCCTCTAGCAACAACCTTGACCTGCTGAGGAAAACAATGCTTGGGATCACCTTGCAATAGGTTAGAGTGTTTTGTCAGTGAGTCAGAACTCCACTGTCAGTTCTTCAGACACAAATGCAAAGGACCTACCCCTCTGTGGGAAGTGCTGTGCACTGGATTGTCTGTGGTGACTGCCTACGGCCCGCCAGGTTTAGGGCTACAAATTTATTTTGCAAAGATTTAGAAATATTGTTACAGATGTTTTGTAACTCTTACTTCACTGAAATTTTAGGAGAGAAGATTTTTGTTATTATTTCAACAACTCAAAGAGTAACAACTGTTCAGATTTCTTTGCAGTAGAACTGGAAATACAGATTTCCAGTAGATGAGACTGTACACTGTTCGAGCGTAGTATTTTAAATAAAGCACAGGCAACATCATTCAAAAACCATCTGATGTCTTTATTCCTCAATGTCATAGGGCAATAAAATCTTGCATTTCTGAAATTATTGATTTCAGTTCAAATGATCTAATACCATCCATTGATGTTGAAGTTACCTGTAGGGCTACAGTATTTCTGTCCTTGTTTCCACAGTTGATTTCACCACTCAGGTGACCTGTGCAGAGAGTGGAGACACAAGACCTGAACTTTGCCCTCTTTTTTTGTTGGTTTTTTTTGGTCATCTCAGTGGTTTCTTTTCCTTCAGTTCTGGAGTATTTAGAAAGAATTTTAAATTAATTTCAGAGTACCTGCTAGATGGGAAGTGACATATTGGTGTCTGTGCTGCATAAGGGAAGAAAGCATTTTACTCTGTACAGCTTTGCTTCTGAAAAACAACACCATGGCTTTGCTGAAAGAAATTTTAGGGTCTTTACATTAGGTGTCATTATCTTATGAATCATAACTTTTTGCTATGCAGTCTGTACAGGGTTTCAGGCTTCAGTCCCTCTGCAAAATAGCTTAGAAGTACAGCTTAAAAAGAATAATTCTGCTGTTCCATTGATCCCATATTCAGCATCTTTCTATAAACTCCCTGTTCAGGAGAAAGTTCAGGAGGAAGTTCTATATAATTCATTAATAATGATTTTACATTATAATTCATACAGAGATGTAGTCAAGAAAGGTAATGGAACTATCTAAAAAGTGGACCTTCACTAACTTAGCTGTTAAGGATAGCTTTTAAAACATGAAAATAAAGGCCTAAGCTATCTTCTGTTTAGATATCAGAAACTCTTCCAAACTTACCGTATAAGAAAAAGCAAAACTTCTTCCCACCTTAAATCTGCCCCTGGCTATAACAAAACTTTTCTTGACAATCCTTTTCCAGAGATAAAAGCAACCACCAGATTTGAGCCCTTGCTCATCTGACTGGTCTCAAGCTTTCTCGTGTGGACTGTGAAGCAGGGAATTTCACAAAGAGCACGTTTTTACAGGCCAGGAACAATGAGGAGACACCAGGGCTGAGGCTGGACACATGCTGGAGGCAGTTCAGCACCACTCAGTGTGAGGTGGTGAGCAGTGCTGAATAACTGTTGTACCTGTTCACTCCTGCTTATACAGATTGTGATAGCCACTCAGGTAATCTTGAGTACAATAACTCACTAAGAATTTACCTGGCAGTAAATTTTACAGATACATCTAAGCCTTAAAATTTTGTGCCCAAGACAAGTCTCATTTCAAGTGCCAGAATCTCTAATTTACTAGTCTCAAATTATGTCATGGAATCTCACTGTATTCTTTGAGCGATAAAATTAAAATATGTGGCATTTCTTAAGGTACTACCAAAGAATGAAAATTGAAGCTTTAAAGAAATATGTCAATACAGATGCTGGTGTGAAATCTTTTTTTTCTCCCCTTCAAGTTTTTCCTTAGAAGAATTTTATATTTGGCAAATATTCTATGTAAGTTTCTTTCTCTCTCTTGCAATATGCTATTATTTATGCAGGAATTACATTTTACTGCTGCAATGGACTAATAATCAGAGAACATACTCTTTCTATTAAATATTATGTATCTTTTTTTGATTTTCCACTTAGTGACTCTGTGTACACAAAGTGAGCTGATCGTAGAAAGAGTCAGTTTCTATAGTAACTTTATAGCTCATTACCTTTCCCCAGATATTCCAATTACGTTTTTGAGCTTTTATGCCTGACTTTTGTTTTTGAAGCTAGTGGCTGCAGCATTTTAATGTTCAGCTTTAATTTTTTTTTTTAATTTTTCTTTACTCAAAGTGTCTGACCCTTCCACAGTTCCTGATATTACACATGTGGCTGAGCAAGAGAATATTGAGCCCTTCCCGTCGTGCAATGTGACAACCTAATAATTAACTAATCTTAGTTTCTCAGATTAAAGGAGTACTACAGGGTTTAGTGTATGTGAAAGTATTATGACAGAAAGCATTTGTCAAGTAATCATTGTCTAATTCCTCAGTGTTGACTAAGTAAAATATTTACTAACACATTTTTAGCTAGCTACCAAAAGTCATTGGGTTAATGGAGATATCTTTAAAGGAGGTTTATTTATGAAACCAACTCAAGATTACTTTATGGTTCAAAATCCAAGCCAATTTCAGTGTTTAAAATACATTTGAATTGATGTCTGAAAATCAAATTTCATGAGGAGTGTTCAGTGTTATACCATATGTAAAAGGCTTATTCTGAAGTATATCTATACTGATCTATAGATCATTTAGTTAAGGGAACTTTGTGAACAGCCATAAATGATCCCAAACATAGAAAATAAAATAGAAAGACTGTTAAATAAACAGAGTCCTTGGAACATCTCCTGCAGTTCTCTCTTCAGATCCTTTTGTTGATGACTGGTAGAAAAAGATGAATTGGAGGTTACAAAGATGAAGGACGTAGTTCTAGCTAATTTAGACAGAAAGTTTAATACATAAGCAGCAATTAGTGCTTCCCTCATCTTGATCCTTCCAGTGTTATTGGTCACCCATATTCCATGTTCCAACTTACATGGGACAGGAGAGGCATGGGATGGGTACACAAGAGAGCAAAGGCCTTATTAAATTTGGGCATGAGTGTTGTGTATGGGGTGACATTTCTGTTTTCCCAACTCCCTATCCCTCAGTACACTGCTGGGGCTTTCAGAAAATCCTGTGTGGTATTTGAAGAGAGGAGGAAAGCATTGCAAAAATCAAGCCTCCCCAGATGTGTGCTAGATTTTGTAAACAAGGGCGTTGCTTTTCTACACAGTTAGAATTTGTATGCAGCTTTTAAGGAAAGGGTACCTATCGTCAAGGCAAGATAAATATTTATTATGTGACACTCTACTTGATTGCACACTACAAATTAGATTTTTCAGCAATGCTGGCTGTCTTTTGGTTGCTTTTTTGTACAAACAGAATAGATTCTTAACAACGAAATATTTTAAAAGGATGAAAATATTTACAGGAATTTGTGTATTGCATATTCTGTTACATCACTTGGTGTTTTTTGAATATTAGTTTTAATTCATATTGTTGTTTTCCTTTAGAAAGCTAAAAAATCAAAGAGTAAAATTTTTTTTGAGACAGGAAGAGCAGTAGCAGGCTACTACATGGCAGAACTACATATCTTTCCTGTTAAATATTTACAAAGTAAGATCCTGTGTGATTTATTCAAGAAAGAAATGTAGTGGAACATAGTTAAGTTTTTTCCATTAGAAAAAAAAAAAAAGATAGCATGGAATTTAAAATAACTAATTTAGATTAATACCTACTTTAGGAAAAGAAACTAAACAGTGGTTCTAGAAAATAAAATTATTTCCCTTGTTATGGTATCAAGAAAAATAAAAGAACAGTAACCAAGAATTTCCAGAGTTAAGAGGTTCTCTCTGATCAATTCAAACCTGAATGTTTCGGAGGGCAAAGTTTCTATCAACACTTTTCCAAAGTTCTAGCAGATATGTGTGTTACAATACAATATTATAAAACCAGCAAAGAGTCTCTTAAAGCTGGAAGCACAAGTCTGGATTCAGACCTTTTTTACATGTATATTTCTAACTCTATATGGAAAGAATTTGCTATTTCAAGGAGTTTATGGTAATATTGCATTGTTAGATTGGTAGACTATATCTAGTTTATTAGCTACTTTTTTACTTGAAAAACAGATTCAAAACCAGGTTCATTTTCTCTAATGTAAATATGTGACCAGAATTAATTTTATTTTAGTTTTGTTTTCACACATCCCTTTCCATGTAAGCTTATCTGGTATAATTATTTGAATCTGATTATAACACAATGCAATATGCTAACATTTTAATTTGCTGTTTTAATTCACTGTTCTGAAAAATAATATAGTAGAAATGTTTCCTTCTTTGTTCCATTTATACCTTCTGGTAAACTTATCACTGATGAAAATTTGTTTCAGGAGAAAAACAACACCCACACCAAGCGGAATATGGAACAATTTTATCATGCATGCACACATGGGTGCTTTAAATTAGGTTAAAAGGTTAACTGAATATCACTTGCTAGTATGTGTAAAATTAGAATTCAGACAGAATAAACATAATAAGCACTGATTTACAGTGTCTTCCATAGTTCATATAAAGTTAAAATGAGCACATCCTACTGTCTGAAGTGAATGCATAAGAAAGATTAGGAAAAGCAAGTGCTACTAACCTTGGTGTACTTAATTTTCAGATCTTTTAATGGTTCTGGCAGCGCTGGCATAACTGGCGCAGGATTGCCATCTGAGCCTTGTTTCTTCATGATTTCAGCTGAGAAGTTCGAGGATGTTCCTGAAACACAGGTGAAATAAGGTATAAAGGGAATACAGTGATTTTTGCCCTGACTGAGCTCTTGGCTTTATTTGTGCTTTTTATCTGAACCAGCCATGGTACATTTGCATACAGGAATATGATTGGGTGAAAGAATTCATCGCAAAGAGAAAATGACACTACTTATTTTTATGACCAAAAGCCTTTTCAGTGAGCTGAGACCTTGATGAAGCACATGCTGCTGAAACAATCTGCCTAAGCAGACACTGCGAATTCCTTACTGGAGAACAGAGCTTAAGACCTCCTCATCTTACCTGTAAAATTGCTTTCTCTCAGCAGGCAGGTATCCAGATTCTAAGGGAACTCCTTCACGTACTTGAAGGCAGGTCAGAAGGTAAAGACAGACTTGGTAGCTCTGAAAACAAACCAAGCCCTGCTTACTAGGAGGTTGATGAGAATAATTACCAGAGCTAGAAAGCACTCATTAAAAACAAGCCACCTTAGGTTACATTTTAATATGTTCAAAGTACATTAGAAGTAATATAATAATGTTTGTTTTGTAGATCACAGAGATAAGAAAATACTAGGGTGATAAAAAATCCTTCATGTGTTTTTCAAAAATGTGAAGGTGGAAAAAATTATCAATCCAGAAAAAAATTCTCCTTGAGTAGATCTCAACAAAAAATTGTTTGTTTTTTTTTTTTTTTCTTCTAGACAACACCACAAATTTAAGGACAAAGTTTTTAACACAGTGCCCTTTGAAATATCTGAGTCCGAAACAAATTGATAAATAAACTAGACTTTTCTACCCTGGATGGAAGCCACTTTTCTCTTCTGATTATTCAAAGAAAAACATATATCTTGCACAGGCAAATCATTTTATAAGGTACAAGAAACTCCTTTTTTCATCAAGTCCTGCCTTTTCTGATTAGTGGTCTCACAGAACCTGTTTTTATATGCTAGGATTCTGATTAATGCACAATGGATCCACGCCATAGAAATAGAATAAAATTATCTTTTTGCTTTCATTAAGTACATAAATGCTTGGAGAATTCACAGCTCACAGTTATTTCATGTAGTTCATATTTTGGAACAGCATTTTCAGACTTTAACATTTTGGGTTACATTTTTTGTCTGCCTTAGGGAATGCCTTTGAGTCTCATGTCTCATGCAGAAAGCAGAATGTGTAAATAGGTTTTGTTTATTTTTTATTTGGAATATAACTTTGCAGTCCTATTCTTGTGCAGAATTGTTTTTTACAGACTTACACACTAAAGTCTACTCTAGCAGTCTTCCTGCCATTAATTTCTCCATTAACCACAAATAGTTTGTCTCTAGTTAACACCTCTGCAGATTGCTCAGATTTGCCTAACTGGAGATGCAAAACAGAGATCAGTGGATTTCTCTGGTTTCAGGTAAAGCAAAGGTTTTCTCACAGATGAGAGTGTTTTAAATGCATTCTCATTTAGGTACCATTGTATCCCCAATTTTAAAAGAAACACATTTTAACTAGAAGTTAATTATTATAATTCCTTAGGAAAATGATAAAAAATATCTTTGCATATCTATAAAGGATGGCCTGAAATCTCTGTAGGCAGGCGTTAAAGATGCTGGATGACAAGTCTAATTTTTTCCAAAAATGCTAGTTATCACTGTTTTGTTTTCCTCATCATTTATTCATTTAAGACATACTTTAACCTTAAGATATACTTTAACCCTAACACTAACCCTAACACTAACCATTGTCTCTTTTTCTGTTTCCGTCTTTCACCCTTGGATTTCATGAATCACCTTCACTTTCCTACTTATTTTCAGTCTAAGAATGCTTTTAGACTAGAGCAGAAAGTATTTTATTTTCCTCATATATAAGCTTCCTGTTTATTCTAGCTTTCTGCTATTTTCATTCTAGGACTTTTTTCACATCCTGAGTCACAATTCTTTCACATTTCACCTAAATAACAATATGCAATTCAAAAATTATAACTATTTATAGGACTGTACTATTATTTCAAGTAGTGAATTATACAAAAATTGGATAATACAGCTATTGAAGCTTACATAATTTTGTTGCTAATGTTTTCTTGGAAATGTTATATTCTACCTAATTCTTTCCTTTCTTTGGTCAATAATTTGCTTGTTACTTGTTATCTTTTCACTGCCAAAGGAAGGATCCCTAGAGACTCTACACCCTGGCAAGTATGTGATGTATTTTCTAATTTTGTGATAGCTCTTTCTATATTCCAAAGCGTAACATTTATTCCAGTTCAAAACTAGTGACTTCCCCTCTTTAATACAACAAGTTCAGAGAGGAACAAGAGTAGAGGTCCACCATGCAAGTTGTGATTAAGCTGTGATATGCTTTGCTGAATGACATTGGCCGTGGTAAAATACGAGACCAATGGCTGCATGAACTTTAGGTTTGACCTGGGTCACTCTGAGTCAGGAAGTTAAGTGAAAGTTTTATGCTAGAAAAAAACTGTAAGTAGTTTTTCTATGTGTCTCTTCTCAAAGATTGGACAAAAAAAATTAATAAACAAACACAGCATACCAAATTACAAGTTCTCCTCATGTGAGACCATACAGTGGGACATCAACAAAGTTGTAACATTTTCACTGAGTTCATTGCGGTCTAGGTGTGCAAACTATTGGGCCTATATTGAGTCCATATTCATTATATAAGATTTAATTTAATAACCAGAACTGCACAGATGAAGGCAGAGCTTCTAGTTAGGCTAGCTGAAAATCCAGCTAATGAAACCAGTGTGTCACAAGAACAAGCCAGATGTGACCTGTGACTGGACTCTTGTCCCTAAGCACAGTGCTAGCTCCATCTGTAATGCCCTGGCCTTTCCTACCCACCCTGAGATATCAGTCCAGGAGCAATTTTTGATTTTACTTGGCATTTTTATATTGCTGTATGCTGAACTAATACTGTCTGAAAGCCATGATTTTATTCTATGCCCTTCTAGCATTTCATAGAGAAATATTTACTTTATATTGTAGAGGAAGATTATTTTGGGAATTTCTTTTATCCAGAAATTACTTTGATTTTTCTAAAGGCCATAAATTCTTGGGATTTTGCCCCCCATAAGTAGGCACAAGCTTATGGTTTTTTCCCTTTTTTTCCCTTTTTTTTTGGGGTTTTTTTAAATGACTGCCATATTGTCTTCCAGGTTCCCACAGTTCAGGTGCTGCCATTCTCCAGCAATAGGGGATAATTGACTAAATCTTTGTATAAAGCTGAAATTGTAATCAGAGCAGTAAGAAAATCTGGGCCTTAGGTTTCTGTAGAAAAAACCTTTGTCCTCCATATATTTGATCTTTAAAGAAATCTAATTCTTATTTTGTTCTAGACATACTCAAAGCTGCATAGATCAGATAAGATTGCATGTATTTATCTTTAACCATCTCTAATGTCAGAGGACATTGGAGTGCAAGGGGCTTTATTGGAAGTAAACAGAGAGTAGATGCACTCTACCTTTGTGTTTTGTCACTTACAGCTCTGGAAACTTTTCAAACTAAATATCTCTCTCATCCAATGTGCCAATGAACCTGAATTACACAATGCCTTCCAAAAGGGAACATAAAAATCTAAGTAACCTCTACAAAGTTGCTATAATTTAAAACACTGGAGATAAATAATCTTTCATGGTGACTTTTACAGTACTGTCCAAAGTTCTCTGGAGTAGGGGTTGCACAGGATACGCTGCTGCACTCAGTAGTTGTATTGCATCATCTCTGCTGAATTCAGTCTGAGTATTGAATGCTGAAGTACATGTATAGGGTTTATAAAACCTCACAATTTAAAAAAAGAGAAAAATCTCTGTTGAAAAAATATCTCTGTTACTAAAAACCTTGATTATCTGAAATATTTTTCCCAAATTCAGAATATACAGGGAGTTCTGAAAGGCAATTTTTCAGGATTTGAGCAGATCCCCCATTGATACTGGCAGAAATGAGCATTAAGTTAGAAGTGGAATATCTAAGGATCAAAAGCACCAATATATGTTTTGAAAGTGGAAATCTCCAAGATTTGCAAAATCACTGGATTCTTGTTCTGAAATTCTCAATGCTCTTTGGTAATCTTCCTTATGGCATTGCATTAATGACAGTAGAACAGAAACAGTGACTGCTGTTTATTGTGATGTGGAAAGGCAGACACACCAGAAATGAGGCAGAACTGGTGGGAAATTCATGCTTTTTTTGCCCACCCAAATTGAGAGTCCAAATCTTGGTAGAATGTGCAAGTTCTCCTAACTCTAATTGCAAAGTACTAAAGTAAAAATGACAAGATTTTCAAGGCTACAGAGCAAATTCCTTTGCCTTTTTGCAGGACACTGACTATCCTGCATTTCTGAAAATCCAAGTGTTCCTTTAATGTAATTACCAATATCTCTGAGAACAAGTAGCAGTTCATATAAAATTTCAGCAGTCATCATAAAATTTCTGTAATATATATACTCATGGAATGAGGCAATAGACACATGCATATCTATCTATTTGAGTTTGAAATTTGAACTCTGTTAATGAAAAATCTTTCGTTTTGCAACATCGACAATAACAGTGTACGAAGGTAAGTCTTGGAATATAATTCTCCATTCTCTTCATTCTCATGACAAGTGACAGGATTCAAGGAAATTACATGAAACTGAATGAGGGGAAGTTTATGTTGGATATCAGAAAAAATTTATCACCCAGAGGATGATTGGACACTGGAACAGCATCCCCAGAGAAGTGCTCACAGCACCAGCTCTTCCTGAGTTCAAGAATAATTTGGAACACACTCTCAGGCTCATGGTGTTGCTCTTGGGGTGTGCAGAGCCAGGAGCTGGACTTGATAATCCTTGTAGGTCCCGTCCAACTCAGTAGAATCCCTTCCGTGCTTCTGTGACTTCCATCTCACAATGACATTTCAAAAGTACAAGAATAAATTGTGACAGTGGATAGGTTTAGGCTGCTGCATTTCATCATAAAAGTTGGAGGGAAGGGATTCCATCCAGAGGGACTTGAACA